TTGTGCTGTAGTGGGTTGAGTGGTCAGGCACTTTCTGATAAAGTTGCATGGGTATCCATTTTGATGGAAGATATTGTATAGGCAGTCTGTTCTGAAGAGTTTTGAAAGTTGCAAGCAATTCAACATTAAACATAATCTCTGATGAATCAGGAATATATATAACTTTTTCCAGGTCCTCAGAGGCAGGATGGGCTTCTTCAGCTTCTTTAATTAAAGCCTGTTTTCCTTCACTTATATAGGACAAAAGGGGATAAGCTTGCTTTCTCAGATGCTGTGTTTTAGGGCCCATAATTTACTCACAAACAACCATTACTTAGAAGGAGGAAACAAATATTATTGTCCACCTGTCAAATGAGTTACAGGGCAGTCCAAAATTAATAGACAATCTCTATAATTAATGGGAAAGCTAAGTTCATAGATCAAACAATTTCTATTGAAAGAACAGAAGTCCTCATTATTACTTTCCCAATTTGCAACATTATATAGCATAAGATTTCAACTGATATTTAAACTATGTTTCAAAGCTTTTTGACCTAAACTGTAAATTTATATTAAAATATTTGCAAAATTTTGCTTCAAAATACACAAACAAAATAACTATACACAGAGACACGTATGAAGTTCTATAAGTATTTTAACAGCCAAAGAGCAAGTAGCTTTAAAAGCCTACAGTCTAGAATTTCCCATGGTCATTTGGAGCTTAAGTAAATGTCATCAGTGAATCAACTTTCTTTTCTTCAAACTTCGATAACAACATGCTGAGAAGATTGTAAATGCTAGATCACAGGGCTGCTTACTACTTGCAATTTGAAGTGGGCAGTTTCACAGTAGGAACTCAGATCTGGTGCAGATAGTAGAGATGGGATCCTACCTATTGCTACCACTTCTTCTAGTTGCATAAGATTTTGTTAATTTCTTTTTCTGAGGCTCCATCTCTATCAGAGAAAATTTTTCCCATTAAAAAATCATTCTGAAAGGTTGAACTGGTATGTGAATGTACTTTTAAGTTTGAAAAATGTTCGGGGAGTTGCATGTCTCTTTTTAATTTGACTTTTGAAAAAGACAGCTAGTGAACTTTGGGGATACAACCAGTGATCATGAAAAGCTTGATCACCGCCACTCAAGATTGTGAGGTCATGCAAGCAGAGTCAGTCTGATTCACATGTGCATGGATAAAACATTCAGATATTTTAAAGTCTAGCCTAGAATCTTGACTTATTTATAGAATTAGAGAGAAAGTAACAAATCTGTACAATACTTGGATGATACAGTTAGCCATTATACTACAAATATTCATTGTGCATGTATGTAAGAGTCATTTTGTGCAAGATGGGTGGCTATATAAATACAGTCGAGGGAGGGAGGGAGGGAGGGAGATAGATAGATAGATAGATAGATAGATAGATAGATAGAGAGATAGATAGACAGACAGACAGACAGACAGACAGACAGACAGACAGACAGACAGACAGACAGACAGACAGACAGACAGACAGACAGACAGACAGACAGACAGACAGACAGACAGACAGACAGACAGACAGACAGACAGACAGACAGACAGACAGACAGACAGACAGACAGACAGACAGACAGACAGACAGACAGACAGACAGACAGACAGACAGACAGACAGACAGACAGACAGACAGACAGACAGACAGACAGACAGACAGACAGACAGACAGACAGACAGACAGACAGACAGACAGACAGATAGCAAGCTCCAAAACATGAACTGGCAGACCATAGATGATCTCTGGATTGTCTAACTCATGAATAGCATATTCATGTAAACATTTTTGTATCCTGTTTAAACAAAAATATCCTTCGTTCTAGATAAGCATCAAAATAGAATTTATTTCATAATCGTCTTGTCAATACCTAGAAATGGGAAGTATATTGAACACTTAGTAATGGTCTATTTTTTTTTCTTTTATAATTTTAGGCACAAAGATGAATGCTAAAGTCAAAGAAACACTTCAAAAGTTGTGGGCTCTAATTGAGCCAAATTTTGAACAATGTTCTTTGCTGTTTTTGAGGTAATATATCTTATACTTCCAGCGATATCATATTTATCAAACCTGTTTTCCCCTTTGTAGGGGAAGCATTTTTCCATAATATAGTCATTGTTATTTCATGTTTTATGTTTGTGCGCCATGTGTTCATCCTATATAGCATCAGCAGCATAACCTAATTATTTCATCATTGCCTCTAATAATACTCTTGTATTCTTTTGTGCTGTCTTTTACAGAGATGTATTTAAAAGTAAATGTAAGTCAGTTGAAAAATATCGTTGCTATGAAGATGAATGGACTAAGACATCTTTTGCTGATTATACTGTAACTTATGGGGATCAACAATCAAATGTTTGGTTTGTAGTCTTCAGGTGAGTTTATTACTGAGTTACATATAACCCAGCAGCAATCTTAAGTAAAATTTATTTTATAGTTAATTCTCTCAATATGCCTGAGACCCAAATATCCACATATTGAAATTTCCTTTTCTGTGTTCCCTTCTCCTGATCTCAGATATATTAATATGCTGCCTTATAACTAAAAAGTGTTTTCTTTCAGGCAAATCTCAACAATCTTTTTTTCTGATAAGTATTCTTTCAATTTCTGCCTTCCATATCACAAACATGAAAGAGTGAATTTCCTTATAAACTAATTAAGTACAAGATGTGGAAAGAAACTTATTATTGATGACTTACTCAGTAATTTTTTATTTGAAAAGCAAAGCAATACTTTCATTTTTCCCTTATTGACTTGGGAAATGAACATTTGTAAACATTTTCTTTTAAAACCCAAGCTTTTTTGTAAATTGCTATACTCAATGGCTGCTTCAGAACGTCTCAATGTAACGTACATGTGATATGCCAACTGTCCAGAGAACTGCAAGGGGGGAATTCTTGGCAGCTTATATATACCAAAATATTCATTTAAATATATATTTTGAAATATATATATCTCAAATTTATGAAAAAAATTCTCCTCTCATCCCTGTAGGTGGTGTGCATCTTCCTCAGTCTCAGGTCCTCTACCAGAGGCCTGGGAGTTTGAGGGTTCTACACAGTATCTTAGCTGTTCCTAGCACTGCACTCTTCTGGACAAAGAGCTCTGATATTGTTCCTGGGATCTGTTGGAGCCACTCTCCCACTCTCCCTGAGTGTGTTTTATTTATATATAAATAAAACACACTCAGGGAGAGTGGGAGAGTGGCTCCAACAGATCCCAGGAACAATATCAGAGCTCTTTGTCCAGAAGAGTGCAGTGCTAGGAACAGCTAAGATACTGTGTAGAACAGAGGCCTGGGAGTTTGAGGGTTCTACACAGTATCTTAGCTGTTCCTAGCACTGCACTCTTCTGGACAAAGAGCTCTGATATTGTTCCTGGGATCTGTTGGAGCCACTCTCCCACTCTCCCTGAGTGTGTTTTATTTATATATAAATAAAATGTTTGGTAAAAGTATTTTACAGTAGTTCAGTGTGAAAATTTAACAGCATTATAGGTACACATGCAAGCAAATTAGAAATAGATATACTCAACAAATCCTAATATAAAAGAAGTTACTTTTAACTGTCCTTTTTATTGTAGGGAAGTATTTTACGTTCCAGAAGACATGATTATTGTACCAAAAATATATTCAACCATACCAGCCTGTGTATTGCATGTTGTTGACAATGACACATTGCAGGAAATTCCTCGGGTCTTTCTCAGAGTTGCACCATATCTTTATACAAAGAACAAGGTGAGAAATATAAACACCTTGATACTAATCTTCATATTACTGGCATTCATTCATTCATTCTCTCACCACACACACACACACACACACACACATACTAAGAGTGTATGATACAATTCAGATTGGAAATTTAACATCCAAAGAGAATGATTTAATAGCTGATTATAAACTGATTAGATCTGAATTGCTTTAAAATTTAATTTAAATCTTAAATTAATTCAAGAATCAATTCAAAGGCAAATTTATTGATAGACTATACTAGAAAAACTTCCAAACTTTTGAAGCTGTCATTTTTCAATAGAATTTATTTTATTTTATTTTCTCATATTTATATAGCCACCCATCGCACATACATGACTCTGGACAGCATACAATAAAAACAAACCATAAAACCAAACATTAAAACTTATATCATAATAAAAACATCAATATTAGTTTAAAAAGCTAGGAGAAAGCAGCTTTAATATTATGTGCAATGTAGCCATCTCATCAGTTCTCAGTTTCCCTGAGATCCCCATGCCTGCCTGCACAGCCACATTTTAAGGGACTTCCAGAAGGTTGGCAGGGATGGGGCCAATCTCACCTTGGGGGAAATTATGTTCTACAGGGCAGTGCCACAACAGAAAAGGCTCATCTCCTGGGTCCTGCCAGATGTAAATCCTTGGTGGATGGGAACCTCAGTATACCCCTTCTGCCAGACCTGATGGGACGAGCAGACGTAATCGGGAAGAGGTGGTCCCTCAAATACCCCAGCCCCCATGAAGGGCTGAAATGGGGTGAAAATAACAGGGGTGGTATACTTTAACTCTGAAAATATAATGAACAGATTGGATCTTTCTTTCGTATGTGGTGGCAACGTTGCAAAGCTCAACAATATTGGAAATTAATTCATTGTAGAATAGGATAAATTTTGAAAGTCGTAATTCTACTGCAATCTGATATATTTTTTATTAAACTTCACTAAAACACACATTTCTTCAAAGGGTATATGTTCCATGGTTTGCAATGATCCCAGGTTCATTTATGGTTTACAGTGAAATGACGTGTAAATCATACTTGAATTTGGGTTTAGTTCTTGTGAAGATCTCAGAGATCTAGTCTGTGTGCTCTGAGTTAAAAAAGAAAATAACTCCCATATATGGATATATAAGCACAAGTATCAACACCATTTTCACTGGGAATACTATTTATGAATGCCACTTGTTTTAATAAAATATACAGCTTTTGTGAATGCATATTGCAGCACATACGTGTTGGCTGAAATGAGCTGCAGGTGTAGCAATTAAAAAATAAGGAATAAAATATGCAAGATCAGTATTTTTGGTCTGTTGTTAGTCTTAATTTAAACCTTATACACAACATACAGCATACAAAACTTACTCCTCAGTGTCAGTGTTTAAATAAATAGGGGGTTTTGGTTAAAAAACATTTCCCAAATTGGGTTGTAAAAAAGTTCAGATAGGATTTTCCATGTTGTAGTAATCATACATATTGTATGATCATGGTTGCTCTATTTTTGGTCTTGTGCCTTAAGTATCATTTTAAACATTTCAATGTCTGACAAAATTAACTTTTTATTTTAGAAAGGATATACTTTCATGGCTGAAATTCAGACTGGTGAATCACCTGTGATGGCTGGGAAAGTGAGGCTTCGGCTCTTAAGTTCTTATACTCCCCTTCCATTTCTCTCTCGTGAAGCTGTAAACAACTTGTATGCTGTTAAAGAAGTTAAAGACTATTATCTACCAAATGATAAGCATATTATATTCAGGTAAAATTTGGAAAAGGGCAAAGTTATTTGCATACAGGTAGTCCCCAGTTTAAGAATGAGTTCCATCCAAGGTCTGTCCTTAAGTTGAATTTGTATGTCAGCCAGAACGATATTATTGCATAATACTGTATAAATAGTATTGTGTAATGAACTTGAGCCGTTGGGTATTTCACTCAAACCATTGTGTATTTAACTTGAATTTTGTTAAAATAGGCTTTGTTCTTAATTATGGCTCATCCGTAAACCAGGTGTTCTTAACCCAGGGACTACTTGTATTAATTTTTTGAATATACATTTATGCATGCAAATTATTTTTAGTATGTTATATCAGAGGTCTGCACAAGTACTTGAAAAGGGGTGTTTCACATGTGGAGCTGCTCAGGAGCTGCTTATAAAGCAGTTGTGCAACCTTGAAAAAGACAAAATTTGCACAGCCTTTCTCCCTGTGTGTATGTGTGTATAATAGGCCAAATCCAGGTGATATTACAATTAATAATGGAATGTAAGGTAGTAAATGTTAACAAATGCACTAAAAACTATTTCAGTTCAATTTGAAATTCTTCCCACCATGATATGCATTTCATTACAGTATTTTTCTAATAAATAAATTTTTCTAATAATATTAATTAAAAATATTAAAGATTAAGGAGCACAACCCAAGTATTGCTAGGTATATATTTTAATCTTGCAGTATTAGAAGGCAATGCGAATAAAAGAATAGCTTTCCAGTACACAGTTTTTGTTATTGGATAAACTTCATTCTGTTCCACATGTATAGATCACACTTAATTAATATAAGAAAACTGAAGCTCTGTGAAAGCAAAAAAACCTAAAATTGTACGAAGACAGTGGAAGCTGTGGGACACAGGTTAAGATTCCCCTGAGAACAGCTTATTGGATAGAAACTATTCAAGATAGCCTTCCCTAATCTGGTGTCCTTGGGTATATGTTGGACTGACTCCCATATCCCAGCCATTGGTTGTGCTTCAGAGGGATTATTTGAGACATAGTACAAAACATCAGGTGGGAATCAAATTGGGAAAAGCTATTTAGTGTACTTATTTACAGTGGTACCTCTAGTTACGAACTTAATCCGTTCCGTGACTCTGGTTGCAACTCAAGTTGGTCTCAAGTCGAGGTAAAGTTTTCCATAAGGGTCAATGGAAATACGGTTAATCTGGTCC